AGCGCGATGCTGCTTCAGGGCTGTCTTTTGGAAAGGATGCACTTAGTTTGTGTTTTTGTGTGGTTTTGCATGTTTGAGACCTGGGACGTACTTGAACACTTACTGTAATTAAACACTTTTAAAGGACCAACCAGGAAAATATTTAATTCACACAATTTTCCGCTTACCGCTCATGTAGTCGATTAGCCAAGACATGTTTAGTGTCCATGTCTGGGTGTTTTTTAAGTGGGTTAAGCAAAGTTGGGGCATGTATTTATGGAAAGGATTTGGGTGACCATTGACTTCTAGTGTTTGTTAGCAACATTAGCTTCATAGCTCCAGCGCTAAACTATAGAAGCAAAATTCCAAATGTGTCTTGGCTGATCAACTATCTCTGAGGGAAGTGGAAAATCATGTAAATTTGATGTTTTGCTAAATGCTTCCTTTAATGTTACTACACTGGACTTTTTTTACTTGTTTCAAAAGTCTAGACTCTTAGATTTTTTTTTTTTTTTAATTAAAATCAGGTGCCAGAAAGTTTATCTTTACTTAAAGAGAAACTCGACATAACATGGCATGTATCTTTAAAGAAAAGTCAAAGAATTAAGATTATGCGGTTGTGCTGTGCTGTGAGTAAATTGCTGAACGTAAGAATTCACAACCTGTATTTGTAAAGGGGAGACTGATGTTCTTTTGATGTATTTCCCTCTGCAACAGTTTTATACTTGTATCATATCTAAATCCCAGCATTCAGGAAATCAATGCAGGGGCCATTTGACTGAGCTGGTCAAGGCCAAAAATTAAAAAGTGTAGTTGTAAACAAAGAGGGATTGGCGTGTGAGGGGGCAGTGGGGGTTGTTGGGGTTTATTACAGGGCTGGGGTATGTGGGATAGAGGGGGGTTCAAACAAAATTGCTGTCCCAGTTTTGGAGGTTAAAAGCCTGAAGGATGCAGTCTATCACTGTAGTCTTAAAGTGGAATTCCACCAATTTTTCAAAATTTCTGCATAATTCAGTGGTTGATATGTAAACAAAGTAATTTACAGTAGTTTAATATGAAAAGATTTCTTTACAGTGGTGGTGATAGGAACTAGGGGTTGCGATGTCTACAACACAAATATATGGTAAAATAGTGGTAAATCAGAAAAAAAAGTTTTCTTAAGGGAAAAACCCTCTGCTTAACAAAACCTTTTCTAATGGCTAAAAGTAGAAAGGCAAAGTATAGAAAATTTCAAAGTACAAGAACTTCTAAGTCTACACAGTAAATGTATGATTTTCAAAAAAATGTAAAGATTAGTCTAGCATTAAAAACAGTTCTTTTAGATTTCTGTATGTTGCAGTATTGTGTTGTATTGTCCTTCATTTCCGGAATGAAGACATCCAAAATATGCAGCTAAGAATACACACACTAAAAGCCTTTATGTTATTCCAGAACACACGCTCTCTTTTTGGTTTCCATCAGTGTTATTAAGTTTTATTGTGGTCACACAAAGCCGTATAATCCTCACCCCCCTCCTCTTTGCGCTACAGTGTAAAGTCCAGCTGATCCGCCCACTCCCCCTCAAATCCGGCCTGCTTCCCATGTACCCAGCATGCAGTCCGCCACAATGCCTTTGTTATCCATCGGATTGTCTGCCGTCATTACGCATTCAGCCTGCTGCTCTTGCCTTTTGTCCACAGCTATCGTTTCCTCTAGCCCTGAGCCTGAGACTCGGCCTTCTCCTGCACTGCTCTTCCATAGTCCATCTGCCCCCCAATCTCACACACACACACTCTGTCCACACTCCACACCAGCTGTCTTGGTCCAGTCCCTGGGGTGTAAACAGGTGCTGGGTTTGTGCAGGCTGAAGCAGAGGCACATGGCAGCACACGCTGCCTGTTCAGCCTTTGCTCAGCATGATCATCTTGACTCTACTGCTGTTTCTTTTAAAGTGATAGTTGGGCAAAAAAAGATTTACACAATTTTCCCCTTACCCCTAATGTAGTTGATCAGTCAAGACATTTTTGGCATCTGAAATCTGCTTCTTTATATTTGCACTGGGGTTACATGGCTAATGTCATTAACAAGCAATGGAATTACCCCAGCAATTAGCATCATACAAAATGTGTGCTTAAAGCATTATACTGTCATAGCTGGAGCTGTGTGTGTGTGTGCTTTGTTCATTTGCCTGTCCCTTAAGCCTTTAAGTAGCCTCCATATTGGGTTGAAATTGTTCATCTTGCTGTAATTAGCCTGTTTTGGCACTGCCTTTATGCCCTCCATGTCATGCATGTGTGTCACTTACGTTAGCTAGTGAATTAGGCAAATAACTGTTTAACTTACTGTTCATGTGAACTGTATGTGAAATTATTATCCCATGGATTTGGGTATGGAGTTCTTTGCAAACTACCAAGCACATGCTACTGTGCTGTTGGAGTGAGCTACCTATTAAAAGGGGCATTGAACAAACCCTGGTCCTGCTTCTCTCTTGCCAACATCATATTAGACTTGCCTCACGCTGTGTTGAGTTGTTAACTAATGACAAATTAACTTGCTTATATTGTTTCTGAGACTGTAAAGCATACTGTTATCTATACAAATGGACAGAAGCATGATGCTAAAGAAATAGTCGGTAGCCATTTTAAATTTTGTCTGTAAGCTTCCATTACTTGTTAGCTATGTTAGCCTCATAGCTCCAGTGCAAAACTAATAAAGGAAATTTTAGATAGCATACATACACTGACTGGCCACTTCATTAAGTACTCTCTTTTTTATCTACACTCTTTGACCATTTTATCAGCTCCAATTACCATATAGGAGCACTTTGTAGTTCTACAATTACGGACTGTAGTCCAACATTCTCAGCACTGCAGTGACACTGATGTGGTGGTGTGTTAGTGTGTGTTGCGCCAGTACAAGTGGATCAGACAAAGCAGTGCTTCTGGAGTCTTTAAACACCTCAGTGTCACTGCTTGGCTGAGAATAGTCCAGAACAGTAACTGACCCTAACTGTTTCTCTGCATACTTTATTAGCCTCCTTTATCCCTGTTCTTCACTGGTCAGGACCCCCACAGAGCAGTTATTATTTGGGTGGTGGACCATTCACAGTAATGCAGTGACACTGATGTGGTGGTGGTGTGTTAGTGTGTTGTACTGATATGAGTATAAGTATAGTCCAAGTATAGTCCACCAAACAAAAATATCCAGCCAACAGTGTCCTGTGAGCACTAATGAACTAGAGGATGTACTAGAAGATGATCAATACAAACTATGCAGCAACAGATAAGCTATTGTGTATGACTTTACATCTACAAGGTGGACCAACAAGGTAGGTGTGTCTAAAAAAGTGGACAGTGAGTGGACACAGTGTTTAAAAACTCCAGCAGCACTGCTGTGTCTGATCCACTTGCACCAGCTCAACACACACCAACACACCACCACGTCAGTGTCACAGCAGTGACTGAAATCATCATTAAAGCTGGCAATGAAGTTTAAAACTGGGCACAGATCTGAAAGTTTAATTTGACACCTAGAAGAAGAATCAAAGCTCATGACACTCAATACACTCAATATGCCCCAAATTTGAACTTCCTGTTACGGAGCACGGACCACGCACTCTCAAGAGTTTGCACAGAAGCTGGGAAGCATTACACCATGCCAAAGACCTGCTTGAAAATATATAGTGGTGTCCATTGATGGCATGGTATAAATAGATAAAAGGAAAAGGGGTTGTCAGGATGGGCCTCTGGGCAGGGTTATTTTTAGCCCAGGCTTGGCTCTGTCCACAGAGAGGAGGGGGCAGGGTCAGCACTTATCAATAACACCACATGGCCAGACCAAAGTCACCACATGGCAGTCACCTTTACACACCAGATGCACTCAAGGTGAAATTAAATCACTTTTAGTGGTGGGGGATCAAAGGATTATCTTAAGTGGGGTCCTCTATTTTCGGAGCCAGCACTGTGGGCTTGTAAAGGGGGAATGTGTCGACACTTCACATGCTGAAGGCAGCCAACAAGCCACTTCTTTTTAAGATGTTCAGATGTACATTTCTCTCGGAGGGCATTGTTTAGAACGAGTCACAACAATATCTTCCTTGACTCACTCTGTGATGACTCAGTCTCTTATGAATCGCTAAAACTTTGAAAGACATAATGTACATATCTGACAAAAACAAAAACAAAGGTTAAGCTCATAAAACGGCATTTTAATTATAGTTTGATTTTTTTTTTGGAAAAGAAAGAAAGAAAAAAACACAGGAAACAATTAGAGATATGCTGTTTATATGTAATAAGGAAAGTAGTTAATTGGTTACTGGTTAAAATTTTTAAAGCTGGTTAAAAATTTTGCCACGCAGTTTGTGCCCCCTCCAGCTAGCTTGGAGCGACAATCCGCTCCTGAATATATGTGCTCAGATTTGGGAGATCCCCTAGTGTCTGCGTAAATGGGACAAGCTGCGACAGGCCTGCAGATGTATCTGAGTGCACCCAGGGCTGCTGCCACCCCTCCCCCTTTGTCCCCAGCTTCAGTGCTGGCTGACACTTCACTCAGAATTTGTGTCCCAGGAAACATCTTTCAGAGCTTTGCCATGTTTTTTTTCTTGAGTTCAGTTTTGAGTAGTTGAATGGGTCAGTGCTCCATAGCGCAGGTTCCCTAAAGTAACCCCTGGCCTGTACATTTTTGCCGTAACACACCCACTTCACATCAAGATGCTGTAAATTAGTTGGATCAGGTGTATTGGGAGCAAGGAAAACACTACAATGTGCAGGGGTTCTCCAGGGCCAGGACTGGGAACCACTGGTTCATATGGAAGCTGAACCAGTGGTCCATAGTAAGAAGCTATGGTTGCACAAACAGAGTGAATTTAAACAATTATTGTAGAAATTCAGCTGAATTAATGACCTTAAAAGGAAAAGGAACATATCCTTGCGTTGTACGTGAGAGTTTTACTGCCTGTGATTTCAAACAGCGGCCTGAGCCTGAGCTTTAGCCTAAACAAGGAGGAGGGGAAAGCAGAAAGAGGAGGAGAAGGCAGGGGGGCGGGGGAGGGAGAGAGAGCGCAGCTCCGAGCTGAGCTGAGCCGAGCCGAGCCTGAACTCTCAGCCGAGCTGTAGAGTAGGCACAGCGCTGCCGTCGGGCACCGTTATCTAGCTATATGTCTGGAATAGGAATTAAACAAAGTTTCGTTGTTTTATGTTTGCCCGAGATTTTACTGATATTCCAGTTTGCTTAGACACGGCAACTGTTTTGTCAGTTTTCTCCTCCAACAGCGTTTGATTGACAGAAGACAGAGAGAGAGAGGTGTCCGCGAAACTGTGCCTAAGATGTCTATATTGCCTTTCACCCCTCCGATTGTGAAGAGGCTCCTCGGTTGGAAAAAAGGAGAGCAAAACGGACAAGAAGAGAAATGGTGTGAAAAAGCAGTGAAGAGTCTAGTGAAGAAGTTAAAGAAGACCGGACAACTCGACGAGCTTGAAAAGGCCATAACTACCCAGAATGTCAACACAAAATGCATAACCATACCAAGGTATTTATTTGTTCACGGGCCACTCGAGCCGTGTTTTGTTTAGCCAACACTAGCGTTAGTAGTAACCAAACAGCCAGCTAAGTTAGCCAAGTAGCAAGACTAGCATCTAACCTGCATAATACTTTTAGGACCTGTTACTGGTCGTATTTATTCAACAAGTAGGCAGATTTGTGACTAGTAGCCCACTGAACAGTGTGGCAGATATCGAAATAAGTTAGCCAACTTAGCTAGCTAGCTGCTTGGCTAGTGAGCTGTGTTGTGTTGGCGTTTTCCAAAGCAGGTTAGCGAGCTAGCTAACGGTTTGATGGCTACTAAACTTTTTTTTGTTTCATATAAGTTAGCATACATCATTTGCCGATCTACACAGCTGAAATTTAGTCAAGATATACTATTTTAACAGCTCTGCATTTTGTATAGGTAATGTAACGCGTAAGACGGCGAACGTTAGCTGTCAAGTAGCTACGTCGGTTAGGTGAAGTTTTGGTCTTGAGCTGCGTGCCTAGCGTAGCACTGTTAGCCTGCTCTCTCACCTAATGTTAACCAACCTAACAGTTATTGCCTACTTGCATATTAGCTAGGTGGTCTAGGTGGAATAAAGTGGTTTATTGCCAGAATTATCTAACTAGCTGGACAAACCATGATAATGCTCTGGCTTTAGCTAGGCTAGGTAGCTAGTAATCGCCTAGCTAGAGAGGTTAGCTACTCGGCTATCTGGATTCCATTGCTATTATGAAGTATTGTGATATCTTATAAATACTCCCAACCACATTATGAAAATGCCTAGCTAGGTTATCTAAAGGACTTAACGAACGTAGCAGGACAGCCAGAATGTTGAACTCAGCTGCCTACAAAGCTTTCTCAGCTTAGCACCTGTTATGCAACATGCTTCTAACTGGGACAGTGGCTGGCACCTTTTGACAGAGCATGCCAATGTGAAAATACGTTGTCACACGCTGTTTCTGCATCTTAAACACATAGGTTAGCTAACTTGTATAACAGTAGCTAATAGGCAAGTATCACAAATCCTAGGTAGCCTATTTCAAACGATTCGGTTCAGTTTCCTGCAAATATTAGGTCATGCAGATTAATGAGTTTCCTGTCAGCTTGATTTCAAGTTAATTGTGCTAGTAGATATAGTAGATGCCTACTCAGTGCGTTTTTGGTGTTGCTTAGTTCATTTGAATTTGTTGTACCCATTGTAGTAAGTTATTGGTTCATCTCCAATAAAGTGATCTTTCAAGAGGAAGTAAAGCCTGTTATGTCATAGCCAGATCCTCAGCTGCACTGAACTGGCATTCATAAAAATGAATTGTTTTTCATTGTTGGCATTAAAGCCTTGCTTTTTGAGGTGAGTGCATTTTGCAGAAGTCTAATTAACTTTTGCCTCAGAAATTACTAAACGCATCTTCTCCAGTATTATTTCATGAGATAGTCAACTTTGTCTCTAAAACCTTTACTAGTTAAAGGTGTATTTTAGCTCTCTCTGCCTGTGCTGATACCACTACATAGTCAAAACAAAGATTCCGTGTCTCAAACCAGCAGAATCAAAGCTAATTATATCAGAACTGGTTGAGTTATCTTGCAGCTGTCAGTGAATGCATAATCATAATCAATGCATGCACACGGAGCTAGAAACATTCACTGGGTTTAATTTTCCAATCAGAGTTGGTAAAATGGGAACCTGATTGTGCAAAGCCTACAAAATATTAGTTTTTAGTATAAACATTCCCTATATGACTCAGAAAAAGACAGAAGTGCACAACTGGATGTGATTTTTCAATGGTTTGTTAATGTTCTTATACTATCTTGACTAAATCAAATAGGCCTACCCTTGTTCTCTCCTTTTGGCACAGAATTGTGTTTTTCAGTGTGGTAAACAACCAGGCCTTCCTCCTGCTTGTTTCATAACTTGGCACTGCATGATTTGACAATCTGAGTGAGATTTATGAACAGACTTGTTATACGACCATGTGCTTGCTTGATGACCTAAGTAGGATTTATCCGCTACGTTGTTGGATATAGACCGTTCAGTTCATTTCTTGAGAGGCTTTCAAGCCAGACACAAGACAGCCCTCTCTTCTCTTTTCTGCCTCTTTTCATTTATCAGTTACAGTGCAACAAAGACTGGCAAGGTGTTTTGCAAGAATTGTAGTGTTGTGCCTCAGCAGTATATGAGTAGCAACATTTCAAGCCTAGACTACACAAGTTTTAAATCTTAACAGTTTTAGAAAAATGGAGAGCATCACACTTGATTTCTGTCTTTTACAGAATGTTCTGTTATTTTGTTGTTAGGACTTGCATGCTAGACAAAAACGCAAAAAGAGAGTACGGCACACACAATGGGTTTTGGCTATGAAAAGCACTCAAAATCCCAGATCTCCCCACTATCATGTGATACAAACAATGCTAAACTGGACTGGACCTGTTTGTGCTTTTCTGCCCACACAAGAAGTATAGTGAACATGCAAACTGTTCATCCATGGGGTTGAAACACAGATATCACAATCAGAGCTGGAGAAATACTTTACCACGAGCTGGCAGCTGACTGGAAATCTTATATAGAGCATGATTGTTTACCCTGAACTCAACAAGCAGCTCCACTTTCTCCACGGTCTGTGGCTCATGCTTCAGACTGCATGCATCTCTCTTTGCCTTTTTTCTCTTTCCCCTTACTCTCTCATTGGCTGTTGCCTGAATCACTCCTTCAGTTACATCACTGACCGTCTCATACTACAGGACTGTTTTGAGTCGTAAATACCAAATACTTGAAAATATCAGACGGCCTCCGATCACTTCATGGCTTGATGGGCTATAGGTTGACTCGTTTCTCCTCTCACCCCATCAGATCATCTGCGAAGCCAGTCACTTTAGATCAAGTACCTAACCTGGAAAATCACTTCAGATTGGGAAAATTTGTTGGAAGAGGCAAATCATGGTTAAAATTGAGCTAAAATTATGTAATGTAGGCCCAGCTTCACAGTGACATGTTAGGTGAAGAGTGGTACAGTCTGAGGCTTTGCTTTATGCTTGCCTGCTATTGATCTGTATAAAGTGTCTAAGGAAAGGATTAGTAACTCAGAGAAGAGACTTTTGACATCTGCTCCTTGAATCTCTCTGACAGGAACCTAACTTGTCCACACTTGTCCATCACAGAGTATATGTGTGTGTGTCAGCAATTGCTTACTCAGAGGGTAGGCAGACTGTTTAGGCTAAGGAAAGGGTGAGAAAGTAGGTAGAGAAAGCTCATTGGGAATCCCCATGACTCATGTTGTGTTATTAAATAGAGCTGACTTCACAGAGACATGTTGGCGCCTGAGGTCACGTTTTTATGTGGGAGCAGGAGAGGCGTGCTTTCTCTGTTGCTGAGGGTGGAGAACCCCAATGGAAGAAAAAAGATCAGTGACCTCTTTAATGGGAGATAATTTGTTGTCTTGCGTCAGTTCATTTTCTTACTCCCTTTGTTCTTTTTTTCTTGCCTGGCCTTGTTCTTTCAATTTAAGATTTTGTAGCAGCTTGACCACATGCATCTTGTTTTTCTTCACAGAAAGGAAACCAATATGTGTGATTGTGTCTAGACCAGACCTCCTGCTTAATATATGCTCAGAGTATCCTTCGCACTACTGCTGCCTCTGAAGATGCATTTGGCTTTCTGTTTGGTTGGGTAGACAAACAGACCTGTGCGATGTCTGAAATGGTCTCTTAATCACTATAGCCTACATTTGTAAATATGGATTAGTATATAGAACACTTATTATAGGGAACAGTTCGTAATTTGTAAATGGTTTTGGTCACTTCATACAGGTTTGCTCATTGCTGTGCGGAAGCAGATTCCATCACATGAATACTGTGAATGCGACCAGCCCACTATAACCATTGTGTTTCACTGCACATATGCGAAGAGCTTTCTTACACTTGTAACAGGTCTGAAGAGAGGGCTGTGGAGACACTGCCATTGTAGCTGGGCGTAGTAATCCTCCTTAGAGAAGTTGTGTGTGAATCTTCAAACCAAACAATGCGGTGTATTATGAGTATCCCCTTTCTGGTAGGGTGCATTGATTGTACACTGTTGTACATTACTTATTGCAGTGCATTTTTCACTCGCTGTTCTGCACTGCTACAAAACAATGGAGCCCCAAAATAAGTTTGTTCCCCCTTTGCAGGTATAACAGCTTCCACTCTTGTACAAGTTTCTGGAGTGTGTCTGTGGGAAGTTTTGCCCATATATCCAGAAGAGCATTTGTGAGGTCATACATGGATGTTGGACGAGAGGGCCCGGCTCGCAATCTCCGTTCTAGTTTATCACAAAGGTGTTCACTGGGGTTGAGGTCAGGGCTCTGTGCCAGCCAGTCAAGTTCTTCCACACCAAACTCAACCAGCCATGCCTTTATGGACCTTGCATTGTGCACTAGGGTACAGTCATGCTGGAACAGAAAAGGGCCTTCTCCAAACTGTTCCCATAAAGTTGGAAGCATATAATTGTCCAAAATGTCTTGGTATGCAGAAACATATTAAGATTTCCCTTCACTAGGCCAACCCATGAAAAACAACCCCATAGCATTATTCTTCCTCCACCAAACTACAGTTTGCACAGGGCAGTCAGACAGGAAATGTTCTCTTGGCATTCGCCAAACCCAGACTCGTCCATCACTGCCAGATAGAGAAGATTGGTCACTCCACGGAATATGTTTCCACTGCTCCATGGTCCAGTGGCAATGTGCTTTACGCCACTCCATCTGACGCTTGGCATTGTGCTTGGTGATATAAGGCTTGCATGCAGCTGCTTGGCTGTGGAAACCCATGCCATGAAGCTCTTGGCGCAGTTTTTGTGCTGATGTTAACACTAGAGGAGGTTTGGAATTCTGCATTTATTGAGTCAGCAGAGCGTTGTTGACTTTTAATGCCTCAGCACTCGGCGACCCGCTCTGTAACTTTACATGGTCTGCCACTTCGTGGCTGAGTTGCTGTGGTTCCTAAATCCTTTCACTTTTCAAAAATAGCGC